GCCTACCGGGGCCCATAAGGCGCCTGTCTTCTGAAGCATCTCTTTGCCTCCGCAGCTGCTGGGCATCTTCGGAGAGCGAGGCAGGCAACGGCAAATGCAACTGCTAGAAGGATTGTGAGTGCAAATCTTGCATGGGCCAAGCCACACATGAGCACTCTCGCCACGCTAAGCACAACAACGAGTAGTGCAAAGAAGCAACTCAGTTGCAATGCGCTGTTCCTTCGCAACTCTCCTCCGAGTCCCGTCTTCGCCATCGAGGAGGCGAACAGCTGGAAGACGAGATCCACCATGACGCAGCGAGGGACGTGCTTTCCAGCGCCCGTTTCGGAGAAGAAAGTGTTAAATGCGTCATCTCGTTGTTGATTTCACCTTGCCGCGCTCGTCAAAGACACGACAGCACCCTCATCGAAAAATCCACTCATCGATCGACGGAGTCGTCGCTCCCAGCAGGGCGACTTTCCCACCTGGCACGTAACAGCTCTTGCCGAACTGATGTGACATGTCGAAGCACAGCTGTATCGTAGTCCTTGCTCTGCATACACGGCCACGCAAAGCGACGTTGCATGAAATCTTCAGGCACAGACGGCCTAGTGGCAGAAAAAGCCTCGCACTGACACTGCCAACACTGGTGATCCCAACCAGGGACCACATGAAGTTTGCACCATGAACACTGCTGTGGTAAAGGCAATTTGCATTGTACAGCAAACAGTGCGTCACTTACGACTCCACCCCCCAAGACGGCCGAAGCGTGAAGGCCGTACTCACATGCTGCAGCGATTGCCGCTTTTAGCCGCTCGCCGTCGTAATGGACGGCATGAGCAACAGCTTCCGACGAATCCCTTCTCTGTTGGGCCAAGAAATCATTGAAGCATTGTTGTCTCCATGATTCTCTGAGAGCATGGTCGTGCTGACTCTTGCCCTGCCCACTGCTACTCCAGAAAACTTCCCCAAAATCTGAGTGTCGCCATCGCCAAGGAGAGACTTCTCTCCAACTCAGCTTCAAGAGCCAGCGTTGCACGCGGTTGAGCCAGGTGCCTACGCAATTTCTATGCTCCCACCGCTGCACATGACCAGCTTGGAAAGCTGCCCTCAGCATCGTCCATGCATGAAAACCCATAGCAAAGAACCCGTCCAGTCTGTGGCCCAGGAAAATTTTCCGCAAATACTTGGACCAAGTAGTACTCGCATCCCGTAGGCCAATTCGCATGATTTTGGCAAACTTTTGGAGTTCTTTCCTAGGTTCGCGCAACCACCATCCCCACTGAGCGACCGCAGAGACCGAAGTGGCCAGGAAAGTCTTCATGCACTCACGTCCTTGGGAGATCATCGCTACTCGACGCGCACGGCGCTCAGCTTCGACCAGACGAGCAGCTCCTGTCGCGAGTGGAATGTCGGCCGTGGCTGCGCCGCCAACATCCACGCCCAAGATGCGCTGCGTGTCCACCACCGTGGAATCCGGGCAAACCAGCTTGGCCATAAGCTGATTCTTGAACCGCTGTCGTTTGGCGGCTCCACCTCTCGGCACGATGCGAAGCTTGGTCTCATTCTCCTTCATGCCGAAACGAGGGGCTTCGCGTCGCCAGCTTCCCACCAGCGAGGCGGCCGCTTCCACGGACTCCACGACCGAGTTGCGATCGTCCACGTAGGTGACGATTGTACAATCATGACCTCGTACACGCATGTCTTGCTGCACCTGCTGTAAGGGGCCACACATGAGCGCCAGGAGACCCAACGGGCTGAGAGGATCTCCCTGAGGCAATGACGTACAGACCTCCTGCGACTGGGGGTGCACGTAGTGTCCAAAGCAAAGCCACCTAACTTGGTGCGCCCAAACCCACTCCAGCGCAGCAGCCAACTCGGGAGCGATGCCAGCCTTGCGCAACGCGTTGATGCTCAACTCCGGACTTGCTCTGTCGAAGGCCTCGGAGAAATCCTGACTGACGATGGCTTCACCGGAGCGGAAGGCCTCATCGAGAACCGCCACTGCCGTGTGCACGCCCAAACCAGGAAGAGCGCCGTGGGCACAGTCAGGCTTCCATCCATTCACCCATTCTTTGAACTTGTGTTGGCGCGCCACACAAGACATGGTCACTCTCCAAAGCGTGCATTCCAGCGAAATCGGCCGCATGTCCTTAGAGGAGATAGGAGTTGCCTGACTGCGTTGCTGCGTAGCAGAAGCCTTGGGAATATGCACTTGCTTAATACATCGCCAGTCCATCGGGAAAGGATAGCGATCGCCCTCCCTTGCTCTTGAAAACCATATGCGCAGCAGCTCGGCGAAGCATTGCCAAGCAGCTTCGGGGACCGCAGCGAGTTCGTCACCGCTCCAGCCATCCAGACCAGCGGCTCTGCCGGCTTGAGACTTGGCGGCGGCGGCCAGCTCTCCCGCCTCGGGGCACTTCCAAGTGTAGGTGCAGTTGGCAGGGAAACTGTAAGCTTCCTGAACATCTTCCCATCTCACCGGAGGTCTGTCCCAGATGCGTCGCCAATGTCGTCGCAAGCAGTCCAAAGCTTCGCCAATGGTAGCCGAGGCTGTGCTTTCATCGCCAACCAAGTAGATGGAGTTGGGGATTCTGCAGAGCCCCTTCTTAATCCACTTGAAAGCACCATTGGACTTCATGCGCTCACGCCAGTCTCGAACACGAGCTTTCTGACTGTTCTTGACTGTGTCAGCGATCTGATTCTCGATCTTGCGAAGGACGTGAGCGACCGAATCCACCCGAGCGTCAAACCCGATAGCTCTGGCCAGTTTAGCCTGCAGCTGTTGGCGGCAGGCCTGATGGTGATCGGGAATCCTCATAAGGGCACGAAGGCGACCAGCAGCAATTCGAAGTTTGCGTTCCTGATGCCGTCCTTCTCCACCATTATGAGCGCCATGTTGCCAAGCACGAGGTTGCAGAGCTGCCGCGGTGCCTTTGGGACGCTTGCCAGCAATGTGAGGGGCTTGACCCCGCAAAGCTCTGCGAAACATAGCTTCAAGTTCCGAACAAAACCACCAGTACTGCTCTTCCGTGCTGGCGTGCCTAGGGATGTCGCCGCGTCGCTCGGCCCAAGCTTTGGCAAGATCTTGCTTCCACTTCGCGGGAGTGATGTCCTCCGGTTTGTCGTACTTGACCGTCGTTGGCAAACACCATGATTGCTGTATCGGGGTGCTGGAGCGATAGGAAAATTCGACCACCTTGTGATCGCCGTACTTCTCTTCCCAGTGATTTTGCACCATGAAATATTGCGGAATGTTGGACACCAGGTAGTCGATGGCCCTATTGCTTTCCCATCTAGTAGGAACCCAGCGGCCTGCAGTCGACAAAGCCATTGTGGTGGCTCCGCCTTCGTGAAGCAGGAACTGCAGAGAACAGGCATCTGGCTCTTCGTTGTAGTCTCCCAACGCAGCCCAGGCAGCGTCCGCGTCCAAGCTGGCGATGACCGAGACCAACTCCATGTCGTAGCTATCCGCACTGAGAACCCACGGCTTGGCATGCAGTGCCAGGAAAACGCATCCTTGCACCTTTACAGCTATGAAACTACCATCTTGGCCGCCGTAGTCTGCCACAAAACGAGACTGGAGATAGTCGCGAGTCAAAAGAATGGTATCATGAGCTTGCCTGCCTCGGTCAGTCACAGCAGGGGCCGCCCAAACCAAAAAGCCTTGCTCACGGCACTTGCGCTCGAAAGAGCAGAGTTGAGCATCAGTCATCTGCACTTCTTGAATGGCTACAATATCACTGTTGCTCACCGCCTCGATAAAATCCCACGTGTTTTCTCTGCCCTGAGCATTGAGGCTCACGACACGGAGAGGACCAGGATGGGGATGAACGTCACCATCCTCACACAAGTCGCGCTGCCACCCCGAAAGGGGCGACAGCGAGAGTAGTCACTCGCGTTGCTTGGAGACGAGGTTCGCGGCAAAGGAGCGCTCCTCGCTGCTGAGCTCCCAAGCCTCCCAAAGCCGCTGGAGGCCTTCGCTGTCTTGCAAATGGATCTTGGCCATCATCTTGCGCTTGAGCCTGAGCAAAGGCTTCCTGAAACCGGTGCCTTTGCAAGTGCCACGCGCGATTGCTCCCACCATCTCGAAGGTTGAAGTACATGTAGAGCAAGTGATGGTCGTGGCACGGACTCCATACCTGACGTTGACCATACACAAGCTATGGCCTGTCTGCTTCTCCAACTTCTTGCGCTTTTTCTCGAAAACTTTCGCCCTTTCTTTGACCAAGTGATGCTTCTCATCGGCATGTCTTTCGCGTAGCAAGCCCTTGGCGGCGACCTGCTTGCGATTCTCCATCATGGTGAGTTTGGAACACTTGTCCAGGTGCTGTTTGGCGAACTTGCGCAAAATCTGTCTGTCCATCGAAGGGAGTCCACATCGGCACTTTGCGCATGTCCAAGCTTGTTGGCAAAGAGGAATAGGTCCGACTGCAACCTCAGCCGGCTGAGCGCGGATGCGGTTGAACTTGGATCTATCCTCTCCCTTGTGCTTGCGCGCGAGGTGGTTGGTGCGCTTCATGGTAAGCTTGTGAAAAGTCTTTGCCCTGAAGTCCTGGCCACATCCGTTGCACGTCCACAGAAGCGGAGGCAGCCGCTCTCGCTGCTTCGTGTCTTTCTGGCGTTTTCCGCTGCCGAAGGCCACAGTGCTGCTGCGCTTTGTACCACGTCTTGTCGTAGAAGCCCCTGAGGAAGTGGACGGCGTAGTTGTGGGAAGCCACTTAGCACCCTGCTGCTTCTGCTTGCTGTGTCGCGAGGAAGCCGCCGAAGAGGAGGGAGCATGTGAAGGGAGCCAACCACCTCCTCTGCAAAGTGTAGTGTGCATGCCAAACTTTGTGCCTTTGCGCCATTCTTCTGGAAGAGGTTCGTCCTCCGTCGGCGCAATAAGCATGTAATGTTGGTCTTTAAGCACCAGGCCAATCATGTGCTTCTTGCTCTTGCCAAATATGATAGGTTCCATCCATTGCTCGTCTTTGTATTGATGAACAGCGATGGTGATGCCAAGTCTCAAAGCTGCAACCTCCAGCGTGGTTCCGCAGATGTACCTACCATCTCTTGAAAGAGTATCCAGCCATGCTTCAAACGTCTGAGGGACACTTCCCCCTTCCGTTTGCTCCGTCCATCGGCTGTCCACCGCCCAAGACTTTTTGTAGTCCTGCTTCTTGCTGCGCAGCTGCTGCGAAACCTCCCAACGAAGAGTGCGGCCTCGCTGGACCGCTTCGTCTTTGACGTCCTCCCATTTTTCGCCTTTGACCAGAGAAGCACCGATGGCCACGCTGTTGTAGCCGCAGGCACCGCCACCGCCACACTCCAGGAGCCTGTACTTAGAGCTGAAGACGGCGAGCGGGTCAAGCTTGGTCTTCTTGAGCGACTGCTTTTGAGGAGTCCCCTTAGCTCGTTTTTCCGGACCGTTTTTCATGTCCTCATCGTCTCCTTCGTCAGACAGCGTGGGCGCCACCTCGACATCCATGTTTCCAGCCTCGCCAGTGTTCGCCTCGGCGAGGCCTGCGAACCTGTTGTGACCACGTCCAACACTTGCAGCATGCCTGAGCGGCACGCCTGTGAGCTGAGCTGGGCGAGAGCCTGTGGACTTCTGTAAAACCAAAGTCACGCTCCCAGCTTCTATTGCCTCAAGCATACTGCTCCCGTCGCCTGGACAGATGCCTTTGATGAGCCACCCAAGCCGACGACGAGGCCCCGCAAAGATCTGCACGTCCTTCCATCCCGCTCCTTCCAGCACTGAGACGACGTCAGTCTGATTCCATTTCGGAGCGTCATCTCGGGGGTCTATGATTGGGATGCCGTTCAACTCCTCGACGGGGATAAAACGACACAATGTCCTGTCACGGCAAATCCGAGTAAGAAGACGGATA